TAAACATTTAGAATTCAATTAGTTTTATCACTAACAAGATAAATACTAATAACAGTTATATGCTAACAAATATAATTGTATCAAATTCTTTATTCTTTAATAAATCCTCAAAGTTTATTCTAAATATACATTATCATTTGAAGTAATAATCATTTATAAACCCTTCAGAACTCTCCCTAAAAAGTATTGAATAAAAGCTAAATCCCTTTGTTAATCTTGCGTTAATACTAATTTTTAGTCGTTAGTATCATAAGATAACAATTTGGTGCAGGTTGGGTGGAATAAAAACCAATCTGACAAATTAAACGTATGCGAAGGACACTTAGACAATTAATAGTAGCTGTAGGACCTATTCTCCTTAAACTCCAGCTGCGAGTCACTAAGATTCAATTCCAGTATAAATCATTAGAGAACGAAGAAACTATTTCAATCAATCGTCTTAAACGTTTACAAAGCAACATTAATAACCTAAAACATTTTATTAAATTTCATAAGATTAAGGTCACGTGGGACGAATTAGTATTTAGTAATGACTACTTTGACAACGAATCTCAATAAATTTGAAGGAATCTAGCACTGATCATATCACTGAGAAACAATACCTACTAACCGCCCGACAACACATAGCTGCTCATAAGGAACTTGAGAATCATAAAATCTCATTTATTACCTATTTAGATCAATCTTACTTACAGTGTCATTCAGATTATGAAACTCAATCAGGAAAACTATTATCTTTCGATAATTTTTAGTTTCTGTGAATTGTACCTAAATATAACGCTATATCATACACTACCTTTACTGTAGCATATTTTATAAGGACCCAAGAGAGTGAGGCTAGCTTTTTGGAAAGAGATCACTTATTGAAATATTTGTTGAGAAAAATTATTACTATAATTAGATATAAGGACAACATACTAAAGAAATCCTTTGATAGCATCGCTGATAAATTATATCAAATTTGGGTAAAAACAAAATAGTTTCAATCATGGGAAATTGAAAGTGTTAGCAGTACTGACTCAATTATAAATAGCAATTGTAGTGATACCTCAGAAAATATGGAAAGGGATCAAAATGATACTATCATAGTACCTTTTCAGGGAAGCAATGAAAGTTCTCCAGGGATGACACTGCCAGTAGCAATGTATGGATCACCATCAGGAACTACCACACCTCAACCATCATCTAATATACTATTATATGTACAACCACGACAACCATATCTAGGAGATAGGAGGCAATATGACAAAAAAGAAAATGATACATATGCCCCTGATTATAAATAAAATATCCTATTTGGATATGTTAATGACGATGATGAAACATTACAGGGAACATCTTTTTTTGACAATGCAAATAAACTAGAGAGAGGAGGAATCCCAAGTAGAATACCTCAAAGAGTTACATTTAATACAAGTAATGATAGGAGATCTCCATCCTCTATTAGGGTAGAAAATGTTCAACAATTAGTAGCCTCAACATTATCCAGTAATCAATCATCAAGGCCATCAAATTTAAGGGTAACAACTCCATCAGTAGGAAATACAAATAGTGGATCATCATTGGGAAATCCCTACAATTTTTCCCAAGCAACTCAATATAGTCGTATATTTGACTCCTTAGCATCACTTGATCCTCTCTGAAATAGCAACCCATCTATAACTTCTAGTTTTACAACCGCAAACTGGCAACCAGTAAAGAACCGTTGGCTTGAAAGTAACTCAAGTAACAGAGGAAATAATACAATAAGACATTAAAATGTAACTACCAAAGGAACCCCACAGTCAACAACAATAGCCCAACCATATAATATATGATCACCATTAAACTCCTGGGGGGTTAGTTCTCGATTAACCAGCACAACAACTTCTCAGTCAGTACCTAGCAGTCAACCATCAAATAATATAAACACCTCTCAGCCAATACTTACACCTCAACCAGCTATAGTACCAGTAGGAGAAAACAATGATAATGCCTACCTCCAAGTCATACAAGGGCTAGCAGGATGGCTTTAAGGACAACAAACAAGAGAACAACAATTGGTAGATTTACTAACATTTAGAGGAGGAAATCAGGACTCAGTGGAGTGGCTTGAAGCTTTCGAACGAACTTGTAAAGTAAACCGTATCAATACTACTCGAATGATTGAAATAGTTTTCAGTTATTTAACAGGAACAGCACTGACATGGTTCCAACGACAATATGTTACCAACTGGAATAGTAGGATCAATCCCGGTACTTCCTTTGTACCATTATTTGAACAACATTTCTGCAATGCATTTCGACAAAATCAATGGAAACATCAGCTTAGGTATAAGATACAGAAACCAGGTGAAACGATTGAGAAATATGTGGCAGCAATAGGAGAACTATAGAAGCGAGTTGACCCACAATATAAGCGAGCTGAGATGGATAGAGTTGCTGAATTTATTGAAGGGCTGCGACCAGAATTTATGGTACCAGTACAAACAGCAATACTAACAATAGTAGATCAAGCAATCGAAAAGGCCAGAGCAGTAGAATCTGCATATTCCATTGGAATGGAATTATCTGCCTATTCATTAATGCCTAATTACATACAATTATTACAAGGAGGAATGGTATCAGCTCGCACAAGTATAGCAATGCAATCTACATATATTACACAGCAACCAGATATTGAGAGCACTATTAATCGCAAACTGAATGAAGGGTTACAAGCGATTATGGCAAACATTAGGCAACAGCAGCAACAACAACAATAGCAGCAGCAACAGCCACAACAACGGCCATGCAAATATTTTAATTGTGGAAAATTTGTACACTTGTCTAGAGATTATAGAAGTAATCGACGTATGAATAATGATCAATCAAATATTGAATGCTTTAACTGTAAGAAGTATGACCATTTCGCCAGAGATTGTAGGAGTACAAATAATAATAGAGGTCAGAACTTCCAAAATGATAATAATAGAAATCGTAACCACAGTAATAGCAGGAATAGGAATTATAGAAATAATAATAAAAATAATAACTACAATAATAACAGTAATAATAAAAATAATAACCAACAGCATTTAAACTAGAAGTCACACCTCTTAGGGGTGAGTGTGCGAACAAACCAAAGCCTCTAAAAGCGAAAGAAGAGGAAGAAGCAAGAAAGAATAGTCAAGGTGAAGCAAAAACAAAAGCAGGTTTAATAGAAGTACCTTATGTATGTAGAGAAATGAATTCAAAAATGCGATTCAGAGGACCATATGAAAACAAATATGATCACTTTAGTTGTGGAGAATATGACCATCATAGTCATATTGTATGCACAAATTGTAATAAGATTGCTAAAGAAATAGCAGCACGATGTGAATATAAGGAAGTAAAATGGAAGGATCCACTAACTGATGAAAGGATTTTCAGTAAAAATTAGCTAATTAAACCAGTAGATTTCCAACAACAAAGAGAAGTCACTGTTAAAAAGAGGCCAAAGTATGTGTTAGGGATCTTATATAATGACAAAGGAATCTATCTTTCAAAATGAATTGACCTAAATAAGAAAATATATAACTTATGGCAAACAGTCAGTGGGAAAGTTGAACTAGGAAAATCATTGGTAAGGACTATGATTCGAGAAATTGATGAAGAAACTGGAATACAATTGGATGAAGATCGCTTGAAATACATTTTAAATGATCCTATATATAATTGTGATGTATACAAAGTAAAGCTAAACAAAGAAATACCTCAATATACTGAACCTACCAAATATAGCGATTGGTAACATTTTGAGTTTGATGAATATTTATAAATGGCTGGACTAAATGAACTAATACTAACGCATAATAAATATGGAGAACTTTTCATATCTAAATTAAAGGAACACATTATTACTAGCAATACAATACGTAATGAACCTATCAAGGATGCATTGTTTATTGAAACCCAAGTGAAAGGATACCTTGTAAATGCTCTAGTAGATACTGAATCTGTAGAAAGTATCATTACTCAGTGGTATCTTAGGCAAATCAATAAGGAAATTAATGAACCTACAAAAACAAAAATCATGGAAGTGGATGGAAAAACTATGATGCCTTTAGGAATAATTAAAGGAGTTACAGTAGAAGTTAATGGAATAATTGTTAACAAAGATATGCTAGTAACTAATGCTATGGGATATAACATTATCTTAGGAAATACCTGATTGCAAAAAGTTCGTGCAATCATTGATTATGATACTGGCGTTCTAGTCGTATAACAAGGAGATTAAACTTCTATAACACTTATAACTTGCATGCAGAATATACATCCAGAAAGGTTTACACCAATCAAGCCTAAAATAACAGAGGATGAATTAGAATTTGAAGAGGAAGAAAGTTATCGATATTCAACAATGTTTTGCTATTGTTCCTAAAAAAAAAGAGGAGGTAATCCAAATAAATGGAAAAGAATATCCTGAAATATACTTACAACAAATTGAATATGAAATAGATGTATAACAAAATAGAAATTGGACAAGATCAACTACATGTTGGTGTTTGAAAAATTTAGGAAATGAAGACCAATGTGATGACTGTAGAGAAATCATAAGGACAGTACAAATTTATCAATACTATAGGATCTACAAGCTGCTTATAAAGTTCAGATCGAAGAGAATGATATTTGAGTAGAAATTGGTAATGATTTGGGAAAATATACAACCTGTGAAAAATTAATAGATACTTCTTTAAAACAACTAAAAGCATTTCTTAAGAAAAATCTTAATAGTTTTGCGATCACAACACAGGAATTAACACATTCAGAGCAACATGAACATTGTATATTTACTAAAGATGTACCACCAGTTGCATTAAAATCATATTAAATGTCAGTAAAAGATGATCAGTATATTCAGCAGGAAATTCAAAATATGTTAGATCAAGGAATTATACAACCTTCTTAAAGTCAATGGAGCTCACCTGTAGTTCTTATAAGGAAAAAGAATGGAAAAATGAGATTCTGCGTAGACTATAGGAAATTGAATGATATAACAATAAAGGACCGATATCCCTTACCAAGGATTGATGAATTATTAGAATTCTTGGGAGGAGTAACATGATATACTACCTTAGATTTAGCTTCAGAATACTGGCAGTTTAAGATCAGGAAACTCAATAAAAAATTTGATATAAAAATTCCATAAAATATAAAGTTTTATAACGTATAATTTTTATGGAATTTCAGTATTATGTATACGTTTTTTCCTTAAGTAAAAACCTTAAACTTAATACGGAAAAGTGGGAAAAAACGTATACAAAAATCACGGACAAAACATATATCTTATAATACTTTAACAGATGCAAACATTACGGACAAAACGAATATCTTATAATGCTTTAACAGATGCAAAAATCACGGACAAAACGAATATCTTATAATGCTTTAACAGATGCAAATATTACAGATAAAATGGATATTTTATAATGCTTTAACGGATGCAAAAATCACGGATAAAATGAATATCTTATAATGCTTTAACAAATGCAAAAATCACGGACAAAACGTATATCTTATAATGCTTTAACAGATGCAAAAAACCATATACTTAATATGGAAAAGTAGGAAAAAATATATATAAAAAATAAGGAAAAAACGTAGATCTTATAATACTTTAACGGATGCAAAAATTATGGATAAAACGGATATTTTATAATGCTTTAACAGATGTAAAATCATGGATAAAACATATATTTTTATATGCTTTAATTAAGCAATTT